GATCAAACAAACGTCAGTTGACATCAAACACCAGTTCAGATCAAACAAACAAACCTCAGTTTGACATCAAACACCAGTTCAGATCAAACAAACCTCAGTTGACATCAAACACCAGTTCAGATCAAACAAACCTCAGTTGACATCAAACACCAGTTCAGATCAAACAAACAAACCTCAGTTGACATCAAACACCAGTTCAGATCAAACAAACCTCAGTTGACATCAAACACCAGTTCAGATCAAACAAACCTCAGTTGACATCAAACACCAGTTCAGATCAAACAAACAAACCTCAGTTGACATCAAACACCAGTTCAGATCAAACAAACCTCAGTTGACATCAAACATCAGTTCAGATCAAACAAACCTCAGTTGACATCAAACACTAGTTCAGATCAAACAAACCTCAGTTGACATCAAACACCAGTTCAGATCAAACAAACCTCAGTTGACATCAAACACCAGTTCAGATCAAACAAACCTCTGTTGAACAAACACCAGTTCAGATCAAACAAACCTCAGTTGACATCAAACACCAGTTCAGATCAAACAAACCTCAGTTGACATCAAACACCAGTTCAGATCAAACAAACCTCAGTTGACATCAAACACCAGTTCAGATCAAACAAACAAGCAAACCTCAGTTGACATCAAACACTAGTTCAGATCAAGCAAACCTCAGTTGACATCAAACACTAGTTCAGATCAAACAAACCTCAGTTGACATCAAACACCAGTTCAGATCAAACAAACAAACAAACCTCAGTTGACATCAAACACCAGTTCAGATCAAACAAACTTCAGTTGACATCAAACAGCAGGTCAGATCCAACAAAAACCAGCTCAGATCAAACTTCAAACAAAAACAGCTCAGATCAAACATCAAACAAACATCAGTTCAGAACAAACAAACACCAGTTTAAATCAAACAAACACCAGTTCAGATCAAACAAACACCAGTTCAGATCAATCACCTACATCTTCTGCTGTTTTCCACAGAGTCCTGCATGGAATTCCAAAGACGGAATGATTCTGTTGACCAAAGTTACCTTGACAACGCCACATCACCTGTGATCGAATTCTGGGAGTACGTTTTACAAGCTTTTGATATTGTTTATTTTAATAAATAAATTATATTCTTGTTGTATAGCTATGTATTATTATTATATGCAAAATATTGTTTACACTATTTAAATGTTAAAATATTTAAAAATATACATTCCGAATGTTCAATAGTAAATTTTTTATATATCATATTTGCAGAAACCTACGATTTTGTTATTGATTGTTTTACAATTTTCTGTTTAATGTTGAGTTGGCACTTGCTCTTAAATACATTTTTCCGACCTTTGCAGTCAAAGTTTATGTATGATCAGAATCGAGGCTGTGATCTTGACCCTAAGCAAAATTGTGTGTGTGCAGACGGAGGGTTCTGCGCATCTCGTCTGGGATCGAGGACATCGGGACACTGCACTGGGATCTGGTTCTCTGTCTGCTGTTAGCTTGGGTTCTCTGTTATTTCTGCATCTGGAAAGGAGTCAAATCCACCGGAAAGGTAGAAGAAGAAACACTTCAGGCTTTCTGTGTCCTTCATCTCAGTTAAGCTGTACTCGCACTATGTACAGTTGCGCTGAACCGTGCTGAAGCACGCTTGTCCCCCCTCCTGTCTCCCCTGACATCCTGCACTAACATTGAATCTGTGCCTGAGCACGCTTTCGTCATCGATGATGTGCTGTTCAGTTTACCCGAAGAGAAGCGCTCTTGCTCGAGTTATGTCATTTTAGTCGTTTGATAGACAGTGGCGTGCAGTCAAATATTTCGCCGAACACTTTTGACGCTCATAAATGATCATAAAGTCCTGGTGCTGCAGGTATTAGGAGGTTTGCTGATGGTGCAGCTGTTGTGCAGTGAGGGGTTAGCATCTTTAATAAACTACGACAGTTTGGGTTCATTGAACAGTAAGAATGATTAAGAAATCCATATGAAACAGTCCCTAAAGTCACGTCTCGTCTTCAGTTTCGGGCCCAAGTGAACCGCGCTCAGGTTTGAGAGCCCTCACACTTCTCAAACAAACTGGGAAACGGGGCTGGGCAAGGTTTGGATAACATGGTGTGAGTGCACCCTTATTCCGCATATTCAAGTTGTTTCTATCAACAAAAGTACATATTTGGGTTGGTTGTGAACAGTTACAAGAGATACAATTTCACCAGGTTTATTGAATATATAATAACATTTTTTGTACCAAAGTAATGATTAATTGTCTATGAAATATCTTTATTATATAAACGTATTTAATATTTAGTATTAATATGGGTTATTAAAGATTTATGTTGTTTTATATGAAATAATATTTTGTTTACAAAAATAATATCTAATATTATTATTAATAATATTATAAATAAAAATGTATATTAAATAATATTTCTAAATATGAAATTTAAATAAAAGCAGCAAATATTTGATTAAATTTTTAATAAATAATTATTTGTTATTTTATCAGTAATAGTAATATTTTCAAAAATATATACTTATAATATTTTTAATATGATTTTGGAATCAATGAATATTTGTTATGAATATGTTAAAAGATTTACACATTACCCTTTAAAATCTTTATATGATGATAAATAAAAAATATGCAAAAACATGAAAAATAAGACTAAATAAAACATTGCTTTAACTGAAAATCTTTTTATTCTTCAGCCTTTTATTTAATAAAAAACACTGTTAGAAGTGGAAGTGTGATGTTACAAATATATCTATACATGATTTGTGAATAAATAATTGTCTGCTATCGTTAAATAGAAAAATCTCTGCTTATCTGAATCAACATCATGTATTTCAGAATTTCCCTAATCAGTGACAGTAAATAAGTATCGAAAATATTAAATGAATAATAAATAAACATCCACACACACAGTATGTTCTCGTTCAGCATCTTTTCTGTCCCCCACAGGTGGTTTATTTCACTGCTACATTTCCATACGTGATGCTGCTGATTTTGCTGATCCGAGGGGTCACACTGCCCGGAGCTTCACGAGGAATCCAGTTCTACCTTTATCCCGATCTGGGACGCTTAGCAGATCCACAGGTACAGCAGCCGTCCTTCATCCACTCGACAGGGATAAATCATTCATTTCAAATGCACATTTAATTATTAGGGCACGAGGAGAGGGTAAACATGTAAAAACATCTAGCCTCAAGCTTCTCCATTGAAGGTTCAGTTGGCATTTCTATGTCTAGTTTGCATGTTCTCCCCGAGTTGGCGTGGGTTTTCTCCGGGTGCTCCGGTTTCCAAAGACATGCGCTATAGGGGAATTGATTAACTGAATTGGCTGTAGTGTATGTGTGTGAATGAGAGTGTATGGGTGTTTCCCGGTGATGGGTTGCAGTTGGAAAGGCAGCTGTGTAAAACATATGCTGGATAAGTTGGTGGTTCATTCCGCTGTGGAGATCCCTGATTAATAAAGAGACTAAGCCGAAAAGAAAATGAATAAATGAACTTCTCCACTGCAAAGGGGATTATTTTCTCAATGTTTAGATCGTTTTAACCATCAGATTACAGGTTTTCAGCCAAATAATATCCGTATAATCCAATATTAATATCCAACTAAGCGCTTTTAATTGATTGAATCCTCTTTAAAGTGTCAGTGCAGAGCTGCAGGTTAGTTTTGTGTCCAACATGTCCATTAAATGTCCTCCAGAACACCAGCAGATGGTTTTCTCTGAAACATGCGGTGTGTGTGTGGAGGTCAGAGGTCAGCTGATTTGTCTACCCAGGTGCCGGAGCAGGACGCTCCGCAGGGAAAGCTTGTTTTCTGTCCCGTCTTTGATTGTGTCCATCTGTGCGTTTGACCTCCTGATGCAGATCTCACATCTGTGGCACCAGAACAGACACGAAACCATGGGATTTCTGAGAACGGGACAGGACACGGCCACACAGATGTATCCCAGCATTCCTTAATGTCAGATACTAAAACTGTTGACTTGATATTTTCACCGGATGTTGATAACGACCAAAGACGTCCATATATGTGCAGAAAACTAATCTAGTTAGTTGACTAATTAAGTTATGCGTATTAAAATGAAATGACAGAGTGAAACAGTATCGAACACATGAAGAAAAGGAGGAAGGAATGCCCAGACAGCAGCTGAAATCTCTCAGTAGTTCTTCCGCAAGCCTCTGCCCTTCCTCAGTGTAAATGAATATCAGCTGCTTCAGTCCAACATCTACATAAGCAGGAGGATGAAGATGGACATTTCAGCAGGACAATGATCCAAAACACTGCCAAGGAGACTCTCAAATACTTTCGGAGGAAGAAAATCAAGCTGGAGAATGGCCCAGCCAATCACCTGATCCGAATCCAATAGAGAATTCAAAATAAAGCTCAGATTTGATAGACGACTGATTTTGACGCTCTGTCTGTTGAAGTCTGAAATATACAGTAGTACAGTACACTATGTCTATTCCCTTCTTCCTTTATTCTGTTTGTAAAACCCAGATGTATCAAAACAACGATAAAAAAACAGGTATATTACTTGACGTTCTGTCCAGGCGGTGATGAAATGATGCTATGCCTCTGGCCGCAGGCGCGTCACGTTTTGTAATTTGTGTCATAACAGTTTAAAAGTCTCGTCATCGCCCTCGGCGGAGCACGAGGTGAAACAAAGCAGAGTCTGAGTGACAGGCTAATAGGAAAACTACTGTCGGCGTGTTTTTCCCAGATCAAGTCTAAACCTGTTTCAGGCGTTTACATCGAATAAGGTGAAAGATACTGGAGCTCCTGGAATTCTGCTCGCTTTTCATCTCGTCCATTCAGTCTTATTACCTGCAGCCAAATGAGTTTGTTAAAGCTGACAACATCTGCTTTTAGAGAAGCGGCATCTAAAACAAATGACAAGTTGATCCATTTCACATCATGCTAACTTCAATTTATTTCTCTAGCGCTTTTACAATGTAGATTGTGTCAAAGCAGCTTAACACAGAAGTTCTAGTAGTTTGAAACTGTGTCAGTCCAGTTTTCAGAGTTGGAGTTCAGTTTAGTTCAGTTCAGTGTGCTTTAATATTCACTGCTGAAAGTCCAAACACTGAAGAGCAAATCCGTCGATGTGCAGCTACACAAGTCCAAAACCAAGCAAGCCAGTGGCGATAGAGGAACAAACTTCACCAACTGACCAAATTGAAGGAAAAAAACCCTTGAGAGAAACCAGACTCGGTTGGGTAGACCCTTTCTCCTCTGGCCAAACTTCTTGTGCAGAGCTGCAGTCTAGGCGCCGGAGGCTGAAGAACTGGACGTCCATCATGGAGAAGCTACAGATGTGAGAAGGTCACCAGCTGGTGTTCAGCCTGGCCCACGGGATCAATGTGAAGACTCGTCTGTCACTGTGGTCTTTCAGGAACCTCAGGAATCTCATGCTTTTCACTACTCCATGATCACCATTGCAGCTGCTCAGGATACGGCCTGGTCCAGCATTATGGAGACTCTCGTGCTTGTGTCTTGCGTCTATTGTTAAAGCACGTGGCTATGTGTTTACATCGTGGTCACGTGCTTTTGTCGTGTGCTTCAGTGTTGTGCTTGTTTTGTCATGAACATGCGGTTAATGAGTTCTCTCATTGGCTGCATGTTCTTGTCCTGTTTGATGTGAGCGCATGGCTTGTGTTGTCTCTCTGTGTCATGCGCTCACCCGTCTATTGTCTAGTCCCACCCTCCGTGTTAACTCATTATTAGTTTGTCATGTTCACCTGTGTGTCAATTTACTTTTTGCTTTATAATCCCCCTCATGTTTTCAGTCCTTTGCCAGTTCGTCGTCGATCGTTTCCTGTCCTGTTGTGTCCAGCCCTGTCTTGTCCTGCCAGTCCTGCCAGTCCAGTCAAGTTTGTTTGCTCGTTTATTTGTTTTGTTAGAGTTTTTCCCCCTCTGGGTTGTTTGTTTTGCCTTTTGTTTTAATTTTTTTATTAATAAAAACCCATTATTGCTGCACCTGAGTCCTCGCTCCTTTCCCTAACCTCGAACGTGACAAGACTAGCATAAATCAGCCCATCCAATTCCGAGGCCATGGTGCTCCACTGGAAAAAGGTGGTTTGCCATCTCCAGGTTAGAGGAAAGTCCGTACCACAGGTGTAGGAGTTCAAGTATCTTGGGGTTTTGTTCACGAGTGAGGGAAGGATGGAGCGTGAGATTGACAGGTGGATTGGTGCAGCAGTAATGCGGTCGATGTACCGGTCCGTTGTGGTAAAGAAGGAGCTGAGCCGAAAGGCAAAACTCTCGATTTACTGGTCAATCTACGTTCCTACTTTCACCTATGGTCATGAGTTTTGGGTGGGTAAAAAGGACAAGATCTCAGATACAAGCAGCCGAAAAGAGTTTCCTTCGCAGGGTGGCAGGGCGCACTCTTATGGATAGGGTGAGGAGCTCTGACACTCGGGAGGAGCTTGGAGTAGAGCCGCTGCTCCTCCACATCGAGAGAAGGTAGCTGAGGTGGCTCGGGCATCTGTTTCGGATGCGTCCTGGGCGCCTACCTAAGGAGGTGTTCCAGGCATGTCCCACTGGGAGGAGGCCTCAGGGAAGACCCAGGACATGCTGGAGGGACTGTGTCTCTCAGTTGGCATGGGAATGCCTCGGGATCCCCAGGAGGAGCTGGAGGAAGTGTCTGGGGAGAGGGAAGTCTCTCTTAAGACTGCTGCCTCCGAGACCCGGCACCGGAAAAGCAGCAGAAAATAAATGAATGAATGAATGAATGAATGAATGAATGAATGAATGAATGAGACTAACATAAAAGTAAGCCGTTCAAATTATAATCTCTTTATAAAGGTGTTCCCGGCTCCGGTTGCTGTAAATTATGCAGACTAACGATTTGGATTTCAAAAGCATTAGTGTTTTATGTGTATGCTAATGCAAAGAGATGTGTCTTTAGTCGAGTTTTACACTGACAGTGTGTTTGCCTCCCGAACTGTGCTAACAGTGAAAATAAATAGAGAAAAGGGTTTGTATGATAAATAACCCTAATAATGGCGAAGATATTTGATTGATTGATTGATTATTTGTTATTTTTTAGGACTTTTATAAAAAAAATTATTTTATACTATACAGCAGCTAATATAAAATGACAATAAAATAATTATCAATAATCTTGACAATCAAAAACATATGGCAGTATGGATACGTTTACGCCATCATAATTGTAAAGAAGGAATTAAAACAAATGTGTTATGTTAATATATGTAACATATATTATCTTGTTCTTAATATGTATTATTATTTCTTAATATTATTATTTTATTAGTAGTAATATTATACTTTTAAATAATAAAATTATAAATAACAATTATAAATATAATAATAATAATATTAATATTTCTTAATATATTATTATTTTTATATATATGATTTATTTTAATATATATTATCTTGATTTAGTTTTTATTTTATCCAAAGATCGATTAAGTTATTAATTGATGGATTAATATAAGTCTAATATTGATTGATATATATGAACATATCTTATAATAAATTGAATAAAAATAAAAAGATAGCAAAATTATGACAACCAAAAAAAAAAATAGATATATAATCCTATGAACAATTTGTCATGGGAACATTTTTAAAATTTATTAAAATTTTAATTTAATTTAATTTAATTTAATATTTTATTTTATGACAAATTTGCAGTCGTGACAATAAAAAAGTGACAAATACAAGATTTTTTTAAAACCGAAACAAGCGAGCTGCCTTACAAAAATCCCAGACATTATTTGCTTTATTTGACTGTGCATCAATCTATTAAAGTGTTGTTGTTGTTGTTTTGTGTTTGTGATGTCAGGTGTGGATGGACGCCGGTACGCAGATCTTCTTCTCGTACGCCATCTGTCTGGGTTGCCTCACGGCGCTTGGAAGCTACAACAAATACAACAACAACTGCTACAGGTCAGAGAACACTGCAGAAATGATTCACTTGACTCTTTTGAATCATTTGGTTCTATTGTATTTTTAAAAGTAGAATCTCTAAAATTAGAATTTTGTGATTTATTGATATTTAGATGTTATTGATAATTATATAAACTGTACCGAAACTAGTTCTGAGCGAAAGGAAAATATTTGTGCTCATTTCATTGAATCTCTTTGCATGCCATAGTTTAAGATTACACTATAAATAGTTGAGTTTCTCCAGATTTCCCAGAATGGAAGTTCGTAAAGTCTTGAATTTGTGAAATATGCAGCGCTGCGATTCATCAGGACTGTGTGGTTTTTCAGTCTCTGAAATCTGATCTCGTCAAAGTGCTTTCATGTTTGCAGTCGTTTCTTCATAACGCAGTGTTTTTCTGTGTTCAGGGACTCTCTGGCCCTGTGTTTCCTGAACAGCGGGACCAGTTTTGTGGCCGGTTTTGCCATTTTCTCCATCCTAGGCTTCATGTCTTACGAACAAAATGTCCCCATTTCAGAAGTGGCCGAGTCAGGTGGGTGACAGATCACTGCTACTGTTTATTTATTCAAAAATATATACATTTAATCTGGCAACATGTAATTAAAATATTACCTAAAATATGTTCAGTACTAAAAGGCGCATGTTAGCAATGTACTAAGCCATGCAAGCAACATACAAACACATGTTAGCAGTATAATTTATCATGTGGCATGCTTACAGTGTTTAAAATGTATTAATGGGGTAATCATGCTAGAAACATGTTATCAAGATGCAAAAACATGCTAGCAGTGTAGTTTATCATGAAGCATGCTAACAGTGTTTTAAAATGTCTTAGCAGTGAGGTGTATTATGCTAGAAACATTCTGTCAACACACAAAAACATGTTAGCAGTGTAGTTTATCATGAAGCATGCTAACAGTGTTTTAAATGTATTAGCAGTGAGGTGTATTATGCTAGAAACATGCTAGCAACATACAAAAACATGCTAGCAGTGTAGTTTATCATGAAGCATGCTAACAGTGTTTTAAAATGCATTAGCCGTGAGGTAGATCATGCTAGAAACATGCTATCAACATACAAAAGCATGCTAGCAGTGTAGTTTATCATGAAGCATGCTAACAGTGTTTTAAAACGTATTAGCAGTGAGGTTTATTATGCCAGAAGCATGTTATTAACACATAAAACCAAATAACATGCTAGCAGTGTAGTTTATCATGAACTATTTATGATAAACTGTATAAATTAAAATCACGCTAACGTTGTAATAACTCTTTGTAAAAATGCTAGCAGTGTTAAATCATGCAACTAGTGTTTTAAAACAGTGTTAAATGTGTTTACAGTGTGGTAAATCATACAGTTAGTGCTTTAAAACAAGCTAGCAGTGGTAAATCATGCTACTAATGTTTTAAAACATGCTAGCAGTGGTAACAGTGTGTTAAATTGTGCTACTTGTGTTTTAAAAATTGTTCACAGTGTAAAACAAATAGTGTTTTTCAACATGCTAGCAGTGTTAGCAGTGTGTTGAATCATGCTACTGGTGTTTTAAAACATGTTAACAGTGTTAAAACATGTTAGCAGTGTGTTAAATCATGCCACTAGTGTTTTACAACATGCTAGCAGTGTTAGCAGTGTGTTGAATCATGCTACTGGTGTTTTAAAACATGTTAACAGTGTTAAAACATGTTAGCAGTGTGTTAAATCATGCAACTATTGTTTTACAACATGCTAGCAGTGTTAGCAGTGTGTTAAATCATGCAACTAGTGTTTTAAAACATGTTAGCTGTGTGATAAATCAGTCTTCCTCGGATCACCCTCAAAGTTAGGGTTTTCTCTAGTTAAAGCTAGCACTGTGCTAATCCTCCATCGAGTGTCAGACTGTCCAGTCAGATATGTTTAGCTCTTTGACTTTTGGCCCACAAACTCGCAGTAATCTCTGTCTCTGCTAATGCATACATTCGTCTGGGCTGAGCTTTGTTTATAAAAGACCTCTTTCTTTTTATGTGCCAAGGCCGGTTTAATCGATATATGTGAACCAGTTCATGTTTCCCAGATTATATACTGCTCTATATTGAATTACAAGATAACACTTAGTTAATAAGTTAATATATATACGAATACGAACAAACAGTGAACAAATACTTTATTATAGTATTTATTAATCTTCGTTAATAAAAAATAAATTTCTTTGTTAGTTCATGTTAACTCACAGTACATTAACTAATGCTAACAAGCATGAATTTAGTGACAGTACATAATATTTTAAGATGCTAGTATTCAATTTAAAGTTGAATAAAACTTTAAATTATTTAAAATTAGGTTAATTAGGCAAGTTAACAGTGGTTTGTTCTGTATACAATCAAAAACAAATATTGCTTAAGGGGGCTAATAATATAGGGCTCTATTTTAACGGCCTAGGTGCAAAGTCTAAAGCACAGGGCGCAAAAGGGCGTGTCCGAATCCACTTTTGCTATTTTTAGGACGGAAAAATACCCTCTGTGCCACGGCGCATGGTCAAACAGGGCTGAGCTTATTCTCTTAATGAGTTCTGGGTGTATTTTGAGAATAAACAAATCAGTCTCATCTCTCTTTCCCTTTAAGAGTCAGTTGTGTCGCGCCATGGCACATTTGCTATTTACTTGGCGGACTTTGTAAGTGTAAAAACTGAACGCTTCTCTAGTGAGAAAACAGTTAAAAAGAGCATCTGCAGTGTGAGGATAAAGAATAAGCCTCCTCCATTCAGCCTCTTTACTTTCTCTTTACTTTATTTTTACTCTTTACTCATCATGTAAATAGTGTTTTCCAGCATGCTAGCAATGTTAGCAGTATGTTAAATCTTTCTGCTAGTGTTTTAAAACATGCTAGCAATGTGTTCAGTCATGTAACTAGTGTTTTCAAGCATGCTAGGAGTGTTAACAGTGTGTTAAATGTTGCTGCTAGTGTTTTAAAACATGTTAGCAATGTGTTCCATCATGTAACTAGTGTTTTGCATCATGCTAGCATTATTAGCAGTGTCTTAAATCATGCTGCTAGTGTTTTAAAATATGTTATTAGTGTGTTTAAGTGTTTTACAACATGCTAGCAGTGTTAACAGTGTGTTAAATTTAGCTGCTAATGTTTTAAAAAATGTTAGCAGTGTGTTCAATCACGCAACTAGTGTTTTCCAACATGCTAACTGTGTTAGCAGTGTGTTGAATCATGCTACTGGTGTTTTAAAACATATTAACAGTGTTAAAACATGTTAGCAGTGTGTAAAATCATGCAACTAGTGTTTTACAACATGCTAGCAGTGTTAGCAGTGTGTTAAATTGGGCTACTAGTGTTTAAATAATGTTAGCAGTGTGTTAAATCATGCAACTAGTGTTTTGAAACATGCTAGCAGTGTTAGCAGTGTGTTAAATGGTGCATATTTTAAGAATAAACCAATCAGATTCTCATTCCATTCCCTTCAAGAGTCTGTTGTGTCGCGCCATGGCACATTTGCTATTTACTTGGCGGACTTTGTAAGTGTAAAAACTGAAGGCTTCACTAGTGAGAAAACAGTTAAACAGAGCATCTGCAGCGTGAGGATAAAGAACGAGCCTCCACCATTCAGCCTCTTTACTTTCTCTTTACTTTATTTTCACTCTTTACTCCTTTACTTTGGTGGAGTGAGGTAACTGTGGAAACTCACTCCACTGAACACATCTATTAGCCGACATGTTTAATTTCGTTTGCTAAGCTCAAACATTTGTGTCAAAACTATTTTTAAATTCACTTCTAATCTCCAGCAAAGGAATAAATGAACAATAACAATGCAGTGTGGTCAGAAAACTGAGTTATATCCAAACATGTCCTGTTCTTATGCCCCATATGCTGATGCAGACGTCTCCAAAACCCCACAGCTGGACAAATCTACACTTGTGTTTATTAAAACAAATATAAATCTGCATAAAATAAATAATACTGCTAATTAACCACAATATACAGATGCAGATTTTCATAAATAAGCTGAAAAAGCCCCCCGACATGGAGAAGGCATAGAGGCAGTGGTGTTTATATTGATGTAGTAAATAATAATATTTGTAATATTTTATTCTTGGTTTAAAAAAAAGAAAAACTGCTTTTATTCTAGCCGAAGACTTTCTCCAGAAGGAAAATATTATAGGAAATACTGTGAAAAATTGCTTGCTCTGTTAAACATCATTTGGGAAATACTTAAAAAAGAAAATAAAATTAACAAGAAGGCGAATCATTTTGACTTCAATTGTATGTGTGGTCTGAATGCTTATGCTGGTCTCTTTCAGGTCCTGGTCTGGCGTTTATCGCATACCCGCGGGCCGTGTCCATGATGCCCATCTCTCCACTGTGGGCCTGTTTCTTCTTCATCATGATTGTACTGCTGGGTTTGGACAGTCAGGTGTGAATCTGCTCTCACTTCTGCTTTTCTGGGATATTTGTAGTAAAGTGTGTGTAGAATTGCAGGATTGAGTATTAAAGTTTTCATTTACAGTGCAACATTGAATGTAATGGAAATTTTCGAAGAAATGATTGCAGAAATCACTATAAATCTAATGAAGAACTCAACAATAATCCATCATGTACGTTGTAGAAGCCACTAACCCAGAGTTGTGTTGTGTGTTCAGTTTGTGTGTGTGGAGAGTCTGGTGACGGCGATGGTGGACATGTATCCATCTTTCTTCCGCCGTAAGAACCGACGGGAGCTGCTGATCCTGGTGGTGGCCATCGTGTCCTTCCTTGTGGGCCTTATCATGCTGACTGAGGTACTGGATCAGCTCATTCCTCATCATAATGACCAAATTATTGTCTACACCACTCTATAAAGACCATATAATGTCTGCACCACTTTATTATGACCATATTGGTGTATACATCGTTCTATAAAGGCCATATCGGTGTCTACCCCACTTTATAATGATCATATCGGTGTCTACACCTCTCTAAAAGGACTACATCGTTATCTACCTCACTCTAAAACAACAATATCATTGTCTACACTGCTCAATAATGACCATATCCATATCTACACCACTCTAAAAGGAAAATATTAGTGTCTACACCAAACTATTATGTCCATATCGATGTCTACACCACTCTAAAAGGAAAATATTGGAGTCTACACAGTTTTATTATGACTATATCAGTGTCTACACCACTCTGTAATGACCAAATTAATATATATATCGGTGTCTACACCTCTCTAAAATTACCATATTGGTATGTACCTTAGTCTAATACAACAATATCAGTGTCTACACTGCTCTATAATGACCATATCAGTGTCTACACCTCTCTAAAAGGAAATATTTGTGTCTACACCAAACTATAATGTCCATATCGGTGTCTACACCACTCTAAAATGATAAAATCAGTGTATACGCTTCTCTATAATGATCATATTGGTGTCTACACCTCTAAAAGGACAATATTTGTGTCTACACCAAACTATAATGTCCATATCGGTGTCTACACCACTCTAAAATTATAAAATCGGTGTATACACTGCTCTATAATGACCATATTGGTGTCTACACCTCTATAAAAGGACAATATTAGTGTCTACACCAAACTATAATGTCCATATCGGTGTCTTCACCATTCTAAAATGATAATATCAGTGCATACACTGTTTTATAATGTCCATATTGGTGTCTACACCTCTCTAAAATGATAATATCAGTGTCTACACCTCTCTATAATGATTATATCAATGTCTACACTTCTTTAAAACTTCAATATCGGTGTATACAATGTTCTGATACGTCCATATCATTGTCTATACCACTTTAAAATGATAATATCGGTGTATATACTGTTCTGTAATGACCATATCGATGTATACACTGTTCTATAATGAACATATCGCTGTATACACTGTTCTGTAATGACCATATTGGTGTCTACACCTCTCTAAAATGATAATATCGGTGTATGAACTGATCTGTAATGACCATATCTGTGTTTACACTTCTCTAAAATGATAATATCGGTGTATACACTGTTCTGTAATGACCATATCGGTGTTTACACTTCTCTAAAATGATAATATTAGTGTATAAACTGTTCTGTAATGACCATATCGGTGTCTATACCTCTCTAAAATGATAATATTGGTGTATACACTTCTGTAATGACCATATTGGTGTCTACACCTCTCTAAAATGATTATATCGGTGTATACACTGTTCTGCAATGACCATATCGGTGTCTACACCTCTCTATAATGACCATATTGGTGTATAAACTGTTCTGTAATGACCATATCGGTGTCTACACCTCTCTATAATGACCATATTGGTGTATAAACTGTTCTGTAATGACCATATCGGTGTCTACACCTCTCTATAATGACCATATTGGTGTATAAACTGTTCTGTAATGACCATATTGGTGTCTATACCTCTCTAAAATGATAATATTGGTGTATACACTTCTGTAATGACCATATTGGTGTCTACACCTCTCTAAAATGATAATATGGGTGTATAAACTGTTCTGTAATGACCATATTGGTGTCTACACCTCTCTAAAATGATAATATCGGTGTATAAACTGTTCTGTAATGACCATATCGGTGTCTACACCTCTCTAAAATGATCATATTGGTGTATACACTGTTCTGTAATGACCATATTGGTGTCTACACCTCTCTAAAATGATAATATCGGTGTATAAACTGTTCTGTAATGACCATATCGGTGTTTGCACTTCTCTAAAATGATAATATCGGTGTATACACTATTCTGTAATGACCATATCGGTGTCTATACCTCTCAAAAATGATAATATCGGTGTATACACTGTTCTATAATGACTATATTGTTCTCTACGCCTCTCTAAAATGATAATATCGGTGTATATACTGTTCTGTAATGACCCTATCGGTGTCTACACCGCTCTATAATTATGATATCGGTGTATACACTGTTCTGTAATGACCATATCGGTGTCTACGCCGCTCTATAATTACGATATCAGTGTCTACACCACACAATTATGACTACATCTGTGTCTTCACTGCTCTGACAATATCAGTATCTAAACTGCACTACAATTATTTGTTTCAGGGAGGAATGTATGTCTTCCAGCTGTTCGACTATTACGCTGCCAGCGGCATGTGTCTGCTGTTTGTGGCCATCTTCGAGACCGTCTGCATTGCCTGGATTTATGGTGAGATGCTGCTAGTTTTTATCATTTTTATAATATCGTATATTACCTATACATATTTGATCATATTATCAATCAAATTATTAATATTTTTAAGTATGAAAAATGTTTAGTGTTAATTTAATTTGTGTTTTTACGTATGTGTTTGTATTTTTCATTTTATGTTTATATTGATTTGCGTGAACTAAATATATTCTAAATGTAGTTGTTTATATATTTTATATTGTATTTATAATTCTATCCAAATTATTTGAATTATTTAATGGACAAAATGGACTGTTTAATTTAAAACTAAAAACAAGTGAAGAAAATTCTTACTATTTATTTGATAAATTAATAAATGTATATTTATATTTTTTCAAATTATATCACACAAGAAATTGGTATAATATTTACATTTCTTTGTATATAATATATATAAAGATATATTATATCTTTGTTTGATAGAACTGAGAAGAGTTTGGTCAACAAAAAGATTTGTGTTGTCAAAAAAGAATCTAAAGAACTTTAGAGCCAGATTTGACTAAAGGTTTAACACAATCAGGGGTTGCACCTAAAACTAGGGCATATTCTTTGGGGCGGGGACAAGAAAATAAAACTGATGCATACATTTTTCGTATGAAAAAGTGACACCACAGTCATCTTTGAGATAACTAACTAAAAGTATATATATTTCAAACCAGTTATTTAAAAAATACATTTATTTTTATATGTATTATTTTTATTATTCCATCATTTCTGTGTTGTTTTTCAGGTGCGAATCGTTTCTATGATAACATCGAGGACATGATTGGTTATCGTCCTGGCCCATATATTAAATACTGCTGGCTCTTCTTCACTCCAGCCACATGTTTTGTGAGTTATTTACCTGCTATTTACCATTGATAAAAGTGTATATCCTGAATTCTCCAATGTTTTCCCAGCCTGTGCTCAGATGTTTTCCACCTGATTTTAAGCTCAATGCTGCCCTCTGCTGGTGCGGCTGCCGCAGTGACACACATTATTGTGCTGATGGTGTGTGTTTTGGTGTGTTTTCAGGGCACGTTCGCGTTCTCTCTGATCAAGTACACTCCGCTGAAGTATAACAATGAGTATGTGTACCCGTGGTGGGGTTACGCGCTGGGCTGGATGCTGGCTCTGTCTTCCATGATCTGTGTGCCGCTCTGGGTCATTTACAGAATGGGCACTACTAAAGGGTCATTGATGGAGGTAAACTCTACTATTTCACTACATATATATATGCAGTTTAAGTCAGAATTATTAGCCCCCCTGTTAATTTTTTTCCCTAATTTCTGTTTACCGGAGAAAAGATTGTTTTCAACACATTTCTAATCATAATAGTTGTAATAACTCATCTCTAATAACTGATTTATTTTATCTTTGCCATGATGACAGTAAATAATATTAGACTAGATATTCTTCAAGACACTTCTATACAGCTTAAAGTGACATTTAAAGGCTTCACTAGGGTAATTAGGGTAAGTAGGCATGTTAGGGTAATTAGGCAAGTTATTGTATAATGATGCTTATTTTTATTTACTTATTTATTAATCTGTGGATCAGTATATTAATCTAATTAATTTTAATGTAAGTAATATAACTTTTATTTTATTTTAAATATACTATTATATACATTCAAATATACATTTTGTGCATTGTATAAAGAATTTATTTATATATATATATGTATATTATATATATATATATATATATATATATATATATTTTTTTTTTTTATTTATATATATATATATATATATATATATATATATATATATATATATATATATAATTTCTACTTATGTACATATATATTTTATTTGCATATACATTTAATTTAATATAGGAAAATAAAAATCAAACCTATGATAACCAGTATATACAGTGTGGTAACATGATGTTCCATTAGTTTTAGTATTTAATTTCTTAAACACATTCTTATTTAATCTACACATTTAAAGCATACTAGCCTTATGACAGTAGCATGTTCTTTCTTTCTTTATTTATATGAATATAATGTACATTTGACATCATACACTATATATTTAATTATTTATTTTCGTATTAGCAAATGAGTGTAATTATAGTAGTGTGTTATACCATTTTCATTTGTGAATTTATTTATTTAGATAATGTCAATTCTGCTAGAAAATGCACATTTTGACAGCATATATATATATATTTTTTTAAATTATATATATATATATATATATATATATATATATATATATATATAAATTGAACATAAAACTACTCTCACTGGCCATTTTATTAGGTACACCTAATAAACAGGGTTGCACTGCTTTAGAACAACTTTAATCCTCCGTGTTATAGATTCAACAGGGTACTGGAGATATTCCTCAGAGATTTTCCTCCATGTTGACATGAAAGCATCACACAGTTGCTGCAGATTTGTTGGCTGCACATCCATGATGCCAATCTCCCGTTCCACCACATCCCAAAGCTGCTCTATTGGATTGAGCTCTAGTGACTGTGGAGGCCATTTGATTACAGTGAACTCATTGTCATGTTCAAGAAACCAGTCTGAGATGATTGAGCTTTATGACATGCTGCGTTATCCTGCTGGAAGTAGCCATCAGAAGATGGAGACACTGTGCTCATAAAGGGATGGACATGGTCAGCAGCAATACTCAGGTAGGCTGTGGCGTTGATGCTCAATTGGTACTAATGGACCCAAAGTGTGCCGAGAAAATCTCCCCCACACCATTACACCACCACCACCAGCCTGAACCGCTGATACAAGGCAGGATGGATTCATGCTTTCATGTTGCTGAGGCCAAATTGTGAGCCGAGCATCTGAATGTGTCAGCAGAAATGGAGACTCATCAGAGCAGCAACGTTTCTCCAATCTTCTATTGTCCAGTTTTGGTGAGTCTGTGTGAATTGTAGCCTCAGTTTCCTGTTCTTAGCTGACAGGAGCGGCACCCGGTGTGCTCTTCTGCTGCTGTAGCCCATCCGCCTCAAGGTTGGCCGTGTTGTGTGTTCAGAGATGCTCTTCTGCAGAGCTCGGTTGTAGCGAGTGCTTATTTGAGTTACTGTTGCCTTTCTATCAGCTGAAACCAGTCTGGCCATTCTCCTCTGACCTCCGGCATCAACAAGGCATTTGCGCCCACAGAACTGCCGCTCACTGGATATTTCCTCTTTAGCAGGCCGTTCTCTGTAAACCCTAGAGATGGTTGTGCGTGAAAATCCCAGTAGATCAGCAGTTTCTGAAATACTCAGACCAGCCAGTCTGTCACCAACAAGCATCCCTTTCACCTTTGAATCCCCTTTCTTCCTCATTCTGATGCTCAGTTTAAACTGCAGCAGATCGTCTTGATCATGTCTACATGCCTAAATGCATTGAGCTGCTGCCGTGTGATTGGCTGATTAGACATTTGCATTAACAAGCAGTTGGACAGGTGTACCTAATAAAGTGGCCGGTGAGTGTATGTGGTGCTTGCTCAAGCTTCTGCTAAGTGACTGAATGTAAATGTATATGTTTATTATCACTATATTGAACAGTATTCTCACACACACATGACCTGTATAGTGTGTTGTGTTTGTGTGTGCTTCATATGTTGTTGAGCGGTGTGTTTCTGTCTCCTCAGCGTGTGCAGTTTCTCATCCGGCCGTCTCCAGATCTGCCCAAAAGCCGACGCGAGCAGGAGAAGCTGCAGGCGGTGTTTTCAGCAGACGGAGACTCTCTGCATCAGCACAGCACACACACACACTCACACACACACAACAGAGACGGATATTTCCCTGTTAGAGAGAAAGAGTCGCACTGTTAGCAAACGCTGAGCGCAGTCTGAACCTTCCCATCATACCTCACAGTGCAGGACAGGCAGCCAAATACACACACACACACACACACACACACACACACACATGCAAACACAAAGAAACATACACACACATGCGCTTACGCACACAAATACATACACAAACACACATGCAAACACACACACACTTACAGACACACACACATGCAAGTACAGACACACTCCTGCAAAAACACACATGAACCCACACAAACACACACAAACACACACACCAGAGAGACATGACAGAGGTCTGTGCACAAATAAACAGTGTGTCGATATCACAGACAGCAGAATATTCACGCTTCTGCCTCCTGTTAACTCTTGATTTGAGTATTTGAGGAGTTTGACATGCAATAATACAAACAAAACTGAATTATTTACATATTTAAACATTTACAATTTGAATAACCATGGATTCGTTAAGACTGCTAATTAGTTCAAAACACATTTACAATAATTTTAGGGTTTCTTTACTTGAGAAATTCAGTTTAATGTGTTGACTCGAGGCTTAATATGAATGAGATTAATGCAAAAAGAAAATGTGCAAAAAATGTCAATTAAAAATGTCGTCAGAACTATAAATTGTAAAAAATAGAGTGTAAAAGTAAATAAAAATGTATATTTTCTACATACACAGGTGAAGTCAGAATTATTAGCCCCCCTGTTTATTTTTCCCTTATTTTTGTTTAACGAAGAGAAGATTGTTTCAGCACATTTCTAAACATAATAGTTGTAATAACTCATCTCTAATAACTGATTTATTTTCTCTTTGTCATGATGACAGTAAATAATATTAGACTAGATATTCTTCAAGACACTTCTATACAGCTTAAAGAGACATTTAAAGGCTTCACTAGGGTAATCAGGATAACTAGGCAGGTTAGGGTAATTAGGCAAGTTATTGTATAACGATGGTTTGTTCTGTAGACTATGGAAAAAATAAAGCTTAAAGGGGCTAATAATATTGACCTTAAAATGGTGTTTAAAAAATTTAAAACTGCTTTTATTCTAGCCGAAATAAAACAAATAAGACTTTCTCCAGAAGAAAAAATATTATCAGACATACTGTAAAAATTTCCTGAATCTGTTAAACATCATTTGGGAAATATTTAAAAAAGAAAAAGAATTCAAAGGAGGCGAATAATTCAGACTGTACACTGTAAAAAATGGCCATGACTTCAACGGTAAAAAAACTGTAAAAATGCTACATTACAAATCCATAACCTGGTTAACAGTATGTTTCCTTAATATATACGGCGAATAACCGTAAATTGACTTTCCCAGAATTCCCTGCATGGCACATTCCTTTTTATGCATTTTATTGACATTAATATGGATCTTTTTTACTGTTTCCCCATCAGTTATGTACATTAGAGATTTATGTTACATCTAATGTTGATAAACAATGTTTATTTCATGACTTTAATTTTATGCATGTTACCATACTGGTGTTCAGCAGCTGTGTGAATGACACTGAGCACCTTCTATATGCTGATACTCTTTCCTGCTTGTGGGAAAAGTTCATTGTGATCATTATGTAACTCTCATCACCACCTGCATGTGGGTGTGCTAACGTGTCTAACTGTGTAACAAAAGATGTGTAGATGTTGGTCATTCAAAATACAGACATATTACCTCTTTAAATTAATAAAATACGGTAGTTTACCGTAAAAATGAGAAATTACTTTTACGGTTTGTACCGTGTTTTAAACGGTAAAGTACTGGCAACCACAGCTGCCGTTTTTTTACCGTAAATTTTACCGATTTATTTTTTACAGTGTATATATTTATATATATGTACAGAACACTAACGGTCAAAAGTTTGGGGTCAGTAAGATTCTTAAATGTTTTAAAATAAGCTTCTCCTGCTCACCAAGACTGCATTAATTTACTCAAAAATAGTGTAAAAGATGTAAAATGCACTATAAAATAACTTTTCTGAAGTAGTTTATATTCATTCATTCATTTTCTTTTTTGGTTTAGTCCCTTTATTAATCTGGGGTCGCCACAGCGGAATGAACCGCCAACTTTTGACCGGTAGTGTATATGTGTTTAAATATTGAATTTTTAAAATGTTTGATTATCAAATTTGTATGAAACCATGAGAGCAGAACAAAAAACAAACACTTGTTGGAAAAGAATAAAAATATTGTTTTGTCTATAAACAGTTGAGGTCAGAATTATTCACCCAACTTTGACTTTATATATATTTTTTAAATATTTTCCAAATGATGTTTAACAGAGCAAGGAAATTTTCACAGTATGTCTGATAATGTTTTTTCTTCCGGAGAAAGTCTTATTTGTTTAATTTCGGCTAGAATAAAAGCAGTTTTAAATTTTTTAAACCATTTTAAGGTCAATATTATTAGCCCCTTTAGGCTATATATTTTCAATAGTCTACAGAACAAACCACAGTTATACAATATCTTGCCTAATTACCCTAACTTTACCCTAATTACCCTAGTGAAGCCTTTAAATGTCACTTTAAGCTGTTTAGAAGGGTCTTGAAGAATATCTAGCCTAATATTATTCAGTCATCATGACAAAGAGAAAATAAATCAGTTATTAGAGATGAGTTATTACAACTATTATGTGTAGAAATGTGCTGAAACAATCTTCCCTACTCTCATCAGTAATTGGGGGAAAATAAATAGGGGGCGAATAATTCTGACTTCAGCTGTATTTTATACACTTTTTTTTTACACTAATTTTTCTTATTTTCCTACAAAGAATTTGTGTCTTTTGTTTTGTTTTGGTGGATTAATTAACTGTGTGTGTGTGTCATTTCTTGTCTGTGTGTGTGATTTGAGGAAGCACTGTAATATTCTGCTCTCTTTAATATTGACACAAGCGTTAAACTGATGTGATAAAATACTCATTTAAATACACAAATAATGTATTTACAGATGGAAGCGAGACGAGAAGATTCACCCAAAGCCTTCTGCTTCTGTTTTGAGTTTTGAAGTGGTGAAAATCACACTCAGAAATCAAAGCTCATGGTTTTATTCACTCTCGCCTCATTGCAAACCTACATTTGTTTATTTTTGTTTTGTCAACTTTATATTTTCCATCAGAACACAAGCGCCCGTGGCCAGTGAATTCAGTGTACTTTGTGTTCAGCTGAAAAAGCATCTATCATACAAGTTTGTTGTGTCAAATGTCCACTTAATAATTCACATTTTCTGTCAAGGATTTCCTCCATTACACCCTTTGTCCAGCAGGGGGCAGAGCGGGAAACAAACACAAACTGGAGTGTCTTTATGACGGTTTCAGCTCAAACCATCAATGCATCTGCTTTCTGAGGAAGCAAACTAGTGTTTTTCTAGAGTCCGTGTGGATGTGTCATAAGCTCAGCAGATCCTGTATCGATGTCTATGAAGGGTTTAGACAGGACTGATGTGAAGCGGTTTGGGGTGGCGATCACTTTTGTGCACTTGAGAATGTTTTAGGGGTATAAATCGTTGTATTTTTTGTGTTTTTGTTATGGAACTTTAGTAAAGAGCGGTGTACCTTAGTATGGAAGCACAGTTCGTCGTGGGTTAAAACATAAAGGAGCTCATTTAGACCTGTTGTACAATTCTAGATTTATTTCTCGCAATTCTGAATTTGTTTCAGACGATTCCGAGATTTTTAGTTTTTTTTTATAAATTGTAAAAAAAAAACTATTTCCGCAATTCTGACATTATTTCTCACAATTTTAACTATATTCGTTACTCTGAGTATTTACGTAATACTGACTTTATTCCTCGTAATTCTGACATTATATCTCACAATTTTGACCATTTCCATGATGAGTATTTCTGCAATTATTACTATTTTCGCAAATTTGACTTTATTACTCGCGTTTCAGATTTAATTTTTCACAATTTTGATTTTTTCCAAAATTCCGACTTTATTTCTTGCGATTCTGACTTGATTTCTGACTTGATTTGATTTCTCTGAATTTTCACTATTTCCACAATTCTGACTATATTTCTCGTAATTCTGACATTATTTCTCATGATTCTGACTATTTCCGTTACTTTGAGGATTTCCGCAATTGTGACTATATTCCTCATAATTTTTTCATTATTTCTTGCGATTCTTACTATTTCGGTAACTTTGACTATTTCTGCAATTCTGACTTTATTTCTCCTGAATCTGACTCTTTCCGTTACTTTGACTATTTCCACAATTCTCACTTTATTTCTTGCATTACTGACTATTTTCGTAATTCTGACTTTTCCATAATTATGAATATATTTCTTGCTTTTCTGAATTTCTTTCTTGTAATTCTGACTATTTTAATAATTCTGACTATATTTCTCCTAATTCTGACTCTACACAATTCTATTTCGGTAATTCTGACTATTTAATTTGGACTATTTTCGATATGTTGCCTATTTTCGTAACTTTGAATGTTTCCACAATTCTGACTTCATTTTTCGTAATTTTGACTATTTATGTATCTCTGACTATTTTTGTAATTCTGATTTGATTTCTCACAATTCTTATATTATTTCTTGCGATTCTGGCTTTTTCCGTAACTTTGACTGTTACTGCAATTCTGACTTTATTTCTTGCGATTCTTACTATTTCTGTAACTTTGACTAATTCCGCTATTCTGACAATTTTTCGCATTACTGACTATTTTCGTAATTCTGACTATTTCCATAATTCTGACTTTATTTCTCGCAATTCTGACTCTTTACGCAATTCTGACTATTTCATTTTGATTTTTTTCGTAATTCTGACTTTATTTTGTTTAAGGTTAAGTTTGACTATTTTTGTAATTCTGACTCTTTGCGCAATTGTGACTATTTAAGTTTGACTATTTTTGTAATTCTGACTATTTCTATAATTATGACTTTATTTCCCACAATTCTTACTCTTTACGCAATTCTGACTATTTAAGTTTGACTACTTTCGTAATTCTGACTTTATTTCTCGCAATACTGAATTTTTTCATAATTCTGACTATTTCTATAATTCTGACTTTATTTCCCGCAATTCTGACTCTTTCCGCAATTCTGAATATTTCATTTTGACTATTTTCGTAATTCTGTCTTTATTTTGAATAAGTTTAAGTTTGACTATTTTTGTAATTCGGACTCTTTGTGCAATTCTGGCGGTTTAAGTTTGACTATTTTCGTAATTTTGACTTTATTTCTCGCAATTCTGACTCTTTACGCAATTCTTACTATTTAAGTTTGACTATTTTCGTATTTCTGACATTTTTCCCCGCAATTCTGACTATTTTTGTAATTCCAATTTTATTTTCCGGAATTTTGACTATTTTCGTAATGTTGAACATATTTCTTGCATTTTTACTTTCTTTCTCGTGATTCTGACTTTCTTTCTCGTGATTCTGACTATTTCCGTAATGTTTACTATGCCTGCTATTCTGACTGTAATACTCGTAATGCTGACTTTATTTCTTATAAATCTGAATTTACTTCTCATGATTCTGAATTCATTTTAGTCAGACTTCATCTCAATTATTTTAAAAATATTTTTATCCTTATTTTATTTCTTTATTTCTCACAATTTGGAGTTCGACCATTTCCCAGCTCTGACAATACTTTTCACAATTTTAAGTATCTCTTAAGTATTTGCACTTATGTTTTTATCCCACAGCAGAAACGAGCTTCCATACGTTTGTCTAGAATCTACTGTTTAACAAATGTGATATAAACGTATGAAATTTTAACGTCTGCACAAATCAATCAGATTGCATATCCAGGACCAATCAGACGCCTTTTTTCCTTGGTACATGTTGTCATATGACATATATGAAGTGTTGGACATGTCGCATGTATATAACCTGTACAGAACAGTGCGAGAGTTTGGCTTTTACAACTTTGTAAATGTGTTAGATTTGAGCCAGATATACTGTATTACTCATGTACAATTCATCAATAAAACTGAAAATACTTTATGCACAAGATTGCGAGTTATATTTAATTCAGCATTGCTGTTTAGACATGAAGAGATCATTGCAGAAAACATGTTTAAATTAAACATATTTTTATACTTAATTTTTTTTTTTAATTTGCCAAAATATTTTTTTACATTATCCATAACTTAAAAATTAAGGTTTAAAATGATTTGTATGTCAGATTTCATGTAAGAAATTAAATTTTGACATTAATTTATATTTAATATCAACATTAAAGTAAGTTGGTGGTTCATTTCGCTGTGGCGGCCCCTAATTAATAAAGAGTCTGAGCCGAAAATAATGAATGAATCAACATCAAAGTAGGTAAATGTCCCAAAAAATGATAGTTTACTGTTGTGTAGGTGTAAATGTTTGTTGTTAATGTAAGTTTTTTTGTAATAAATAATGTTTAGAGATCTGTAAACCAAAAAAATGCTGTTGCTTAAACTTTATTATTTTTGTTAAAATAAAAATAATATGAAATATTGTCATTCTATTTTTAGTGCACTTTATTAAATGTATGTGCTTTTATATTTTTGTTTATTAACTTTATTTTATAATTAATATTACTTTTAAATGTAAATGCGCATATCCGATGAGACTGAGAAAATTACATTTGCATATATTGATATACAAACTGCTTACAAATTCAAAGTTTTCATAATTTTTATGAACAAAAATGATACTGAGAGGTAAATATGAAATATAATAATACATTTGAAGCTGTAAATGTTGTAATTATTGAAGTCTTGAGGTAAACAAACCTTTTATTTGTTTGACTTAAGTAAAAGCTTTTGTGTCCTTTCAATTGATATTTTGCTATATTTTATTTTATTTTATTTCATACTGATTGGTCACTTGTCCTCATGTCAAGTTTAATTAAATTTTTGTTTTACTTTATTTTATTTCTCCACTCATTGGTCGCTTATCCTCATGTCAGGTTTAATTTAATTAAATTAAAATGTATTTTATGTATTCTAATTAATTTTTTAATTTATATTTTACATTTTATTTTATTTCTCCACTGATTGGTCGCTTGTCCTCTAGTCCAGTTTAATTTAATCTGATTGAATTTAAGTATTCAATTTTGTTTTATTTTGTTTATTTAAATATATTTTATTTCTATTTATTTTTTACATTGTATTTTATTTTATATATCATTTTTAATTAAAATAAATAAAACAAAATAAAAATACTATAAAAAAATAAAAAATTAGAAATTAAAGTAAAATAAAATGTAAAAAAATAATTAAAACAAAATAAAATAAATGTATTTTATTTATATTTATTTTTTAGATTTTGTTTTATTTACTTTACTTTAATTATTATTATTATTATTTAGATTTTACATTTTATTTCATTTTATTTTTATTTTACTTACTTATTTTACTTTATTTTATTTCTTCACTGATTGGTCACTTTTCCTCGAGTCCAGTTTAATTTGATTTAATTTTGTTTTGTTTTGTTTTATTTATTTAAACATATTTTATATTTATTTATTTTTTTGCACTTATTTCATTTATTTATTGTATTATTTATTTTAATTTATTTTATATATATTTGTTAATTAAAATAAATACAATTAAATATAAAAATAAAATAAATGTATTTTATATTAATTATTTTATTTTTTTTATTATTATTTTTTTTTACTTATTTTTTTTTTCCCCACTGATTGATCGCTTGTCCTTGACTTCACTTCACTTCACTTCACTTCACTTTACTTTACTTTACTTTACTTTACCTTACTATGTTAATCCTCGAGTTCAGCAGCCAATGAAAGCCTGCGCAAATCCCGCGTGCACCCGCGCGGGGTCGCTGCAGCCCCTCCCTCTCTCTCTCCGCGGATCCGGTCAGAGTGTTTACGGAAGTGACGCCTGACGTGACGTGTCATTTTCCGCACAGGCATTATGAGGATCCAGCAATGAAGAACCCGAAAAATGATGAAAGTCGCTTTTAGAGCACAAATGCCGTAAAACACCGGCAGGTATCCGCGGGGTTATGGTGCTGTGACGCGGCTTCCGGTGTGTGTGAGGCTTGATCTGCGCTGGAGCCGAACAGCGCGCTCGGTTTGCGGGATTTATCGGTGATTTATTGGTGATTTATCGGCGATTAATGAGCCTGAAGATGTCCACGAGCAGTCCAGAGGCGGTGAAGAAGCTCCTGGAGAACATGCAGGCGGATCTGCGCTCTCTGTCCATGGAGTGCAAGAAGAAATTCCCTCCAGTCAAAGAGGTAAACATGCAGCTAGCAGAGAAGCCGAGGACAGCACGGAAATAAGGGGTGTACTGTGTGTCTGTGTGTGTGTGTGTGTGTGTGTTTATCATATTGAGAGTATATTTTATGGATACAATACGATATATAGACAAGTACTGTACTTGTGTGTGTGTTTGTGTGTGTGTGAGTTTGTGTATGTATGTGTGTGTGTGAGTGAGTGAGTGTGTGTGTGTGTGTGTGTGTGTGTGTGTGTGTGAATGTATGTGTGTGTCTAGGTCTAGCAAATAAATAATGCTAAAAGCTGAGTACAGCACGGAAATTAGTGCAGTACTTATGTGTGTGTATTATATAGACAATATATAGATACAATGTATAAACAAGGACTGTACTTGTGTGTGTGTGTGTGTGTGTGTGTGTGAGAGAGAGAGCAGTTAGCAAATAAATAATACTAAAAGCCAAGTATAGCATGGAAATTAGTGATGTACTGTATAGATATATATGTGTGTGTGTGTGTATTTTTCATATAGACGAAACAATATATAGTAAAGTACTGCACTGTGTGTGTGTGTGTTTATCATATAGATAATATATGGGTACTATACGATATGATGCAGTATATAGACAAGTACTGTACTTGTGTGTGTGCTGTTAGCAAATAAATAGTGATAAAATAATTTGCTGTACTTATATGTGTGTTTTTCATCATATGGAAAAATACTGTATGTATGTGTGTGTGTGTGTGTGTTTGTGTGTTTGTGTGTTTGTGTGTGTGTGTGTGTGTGTGTGTGTGTGTGTGTATCTACAGTTAAACTTTATGCCCCCTTTGAATTTTTTTTTTTTTTTTAAATATTTCCCAAATGATGTTTAGCAGAAGTGTGTCTGATAATATTTTTTCTTCTGGAGAAAGTCTTATTTGTTATATTTCGGCTAGAATAAAAGCAGTTATTAATTTTTAAAAATACATTTTAAGGTCAATATTATTAGCGCCTTTAAGCAATTATTTTCCAGATAGTCTACAGAACAAACCATCATTATACAATAACTTGCCTAATTACCCTAACCTGCCTAGTTAACCTAATTACCCTAGTGAAGCCTTTAAATGTCACTTTAAGCTGTATAGAAGTGTCTTGAAG